TTGAGGTAAGATTGACGGGCCTATAGTTGCCCAGGTCCTCCCTCCTCCCTTTTTTAAAGATGGGGATGACGTTGGCCACCTTCCAATCATCTGGCACCTGGCCTGAGCACCACGAGTGCTTGTAAAGCTGTGCCAAGGGCCCTGCAATAACCCCTGCTAGCTCCCTCAAAACCCTGTGGTGGAGAGCATCCAGACCTGCTGGAAGATCTGAGAAACTGATTAAAAGCCAAAAGAAGCCCTTTAGAAGAAGACTCAGCCAGGTGACACACAAGACCAATCCCAAATGATGAAAAGCGACAGTTCAGAACTAGATTCTAGGACCTTTGTATCATAAAATAATTAAGTAGCTAAAAAAAATGAGACAGATTCAGCCATTGACATGCTGTATGGGACGTGTACTGTAACTAGAAAAAGAATTTCAAAAGGTGACTGTTTCAGGAGCTAATTCTTTATTACTCTGCACTTCTTTCCACAGTGTCTATGTGCCCTTCTAGACAGTGTACTGAGCTACAGAAAATGGAGTAAGAGCCTGCACTACAGTCTGGACAGCATTCTCAGTGCTCTTTTTGCACAGGTAAGCAGACTGATGCCAAATGGGTAGGACACGATGCCACTTTCCTCTGTCCTGTCTCTTTGTGCAGAAATTTTCATGAACAATGAAAAAAAAGCAAACATTTCCATAGGATGCTGTCCAGACTGAAATTATAAGATTGTTAATTGTTTCCTGTTTCATTGCATCTGTAACCCTTCATCCAGTCAACAACTGGTAGCAGTGAGGACTGGGCTCAAACTTTGGTGTACCCAATAAGATTTCACTGTGGAAACCCAATAAGTTTTCACCCCCACCCAGAAATCTGGCATAACTGAATTTGGCTGGGGTGTCCTGCATAACAAAACTTCCTCCTTGCAAGCAGTATAAACACAAAAGGACAGATTTATTACAGAAAACAAAGGTCAAAGAAAACACCAAATGTGATTTAAAACACTACCAATTACAAGACACAGTCTATAGGGCTTCACCCATGCCTAGGCAATCTGGGACTTGGGGGCTCCCCAAAAGGTAGTTCTGGGGGCTGCAGCCCTATATTTGCCCTTCAGCAATAGGATGGACAGGTGGGCCCACACCAGAGAGTCTTATGAGCTGCTCCTTGGGGTTTGAGGCAACTTGCAGGATGGCTAGACAGTGAGGTTTTTCTGCAGTGCAAGGTGTCCCTCGTTGCTCCCTGGCAAACTGTAGAGCACTGATCTCAGTTTCTATGTGGTGGCTTTGAGAGGGTGACTTGTGGCTTCAGTCAGCACACTGCACTCCCAAAATGTCTAGTCTCAAACCCCAGCCCTGCTGGGACAGAAAACTGCAAAAGAACTCAAGGGGAGGCCCAGCCTATTCTGGTCCAGGCCTGAACATACAGAGGGGCTCAGGTACTCAGCTAGGCTGAGACACAACAGCTGTAAAACAATAAAAGAGGGAACCAGGCCTCTTTGTACTGGGCCTGGACTAAGCAACAAAAGCGGATCAGGGCATTCTGCACTGGGCCTGAGCTTGGCAACAAAATGTACCAAGTCCGTCACCCTGACCCAACACATGCCAGGTCTCACCCTGGTCTAAACTGTGCCAGGCACCACCCTGGTCCAAACCGTTTCAGGCACCACCTTGGCCCAAACTGTGCCAGGCTTTTAATCCTGGACTTAATCTGCCAACAAAACCACAAGGCTCCAACCCTGGCCATCGTCCTGCAGGGATTAATACCCCCATTGTATTATCCCACCCAAACCCCAGGAAAACAAAAGGGGACAGAAGAGAAAAGACATAGAGGTCTCAAACTCTGAGACCGTCTTTCTCTCCCTGGATCTGAGTCTTTCCCTTTACATAGCTTCAGTAAGCCTCCCCAGTGAAGGATGGGGGAAAGACCTCCCCCATGGGGGAGCAGTTTCTCCAGCTCCCAATTCAGCTTTGCAACTCTTAGCAGCCCCAGGAGAAAGAAAGCTTATTGAGAGGTTGAGAAGTTCCTATGTACCTGGCATAACATCACCCAAGCTTTTCCAATCAAGGCTTGCCTTGCCCCCAGACTTTCTCTCAACTACTTAATTTTAAAAGAACACTGCTCAGTTTTAGGGGTCTGATCCCCTTCCTTATGTAACTGAACTCCATGCTCTCTTGTTGACAGTAAACAGCAGGGTATATTCTTAGACAAAAAGCCCAACAAAGGGGGCTTTTGTGCCTACATACAGACAGCCCTGCTTATTTCCAGACTACCCAAGCAGGGTAGAGAAAAAAAGATACTTAAATATAGAAAACAATGGATTACAATACTTGCTGTACAAATTAGACACAAAAATACATAATTATATTTCAACTATAACACTTTGGCAGTACGAAATAGCTTGTGTGTTTTGTGTGGGTTAACATGTATATGTGTGTGCACACGTGTGTATGGATGCATATGCATGTGTGTGTGCACTGAGAGGATTCCCTCGTGGACTATGGAGGCACATGTGTCATTCTTCATCCATCCAGGGTGCAGACAGAAGTGCAACTCTCAGCTGTAACTCAGAACAATTTCTGCAAAGCGTTCTGAGTTATAACGTTATACCAGACCAAACAGAAGTACCTCTGTCCCACCTTCTGTGGGGGCTGAAGAAACCCCAGAGTGAACTCCTTCCACTGCTTCCATTCTGAAAACAGAGACGGGCTGGGAGCTCTGCAGTCACAAGTAATAAAAATGCTACATTTTGAATTGACTTTATCTGATACCTCATGCAATGAGGGGTCAGAGTTCCACCCAATTGGCCATTTTTGAAGCTGTTTGCAGCCATGAACTTGTGTTTGGTTACAGCTATAATCTGTTTCCTGTGGCCAAAAATTGTCACTTCTGTCTGCTTAGCTAGTGTTTTCTCTGTTATATGGAGCTCTGCACTTCTTTGAGCAGGGCTTTACCCATGCTCTCTATTCTCAGTGAAGAAGTGACTGCTGCTTTTTCCCCACCAGAAAGGTTCAATCCAAGACCCCTCTTACAGAGGGAAGAGCTTGCCAATCTATTTCAAGAACTCCCTCTTCTGACAGTTATTCTAGTGACTACCATGTGCCCCAAGACTGTGAGGACACAGAGACTCATTCTACAAAGTGTTGAATATTAACTTTCTCAGTAGTTGAAGGTATATTTGAAGCCACAGAAAGCACTCAGCACTGACCAAGTTAACATGGATGCTTGTTCTTCTGCCCGTTGAAAGCTAATGCCCATATTTTTCTTTTTCTTTGACTATTTTAAATCTTCCCCGCTGCCACACTATGCATCCATGACTGGGTTTTCTTCTCTCTGCAGGTCTGTGCTAAGATTGAAATATCTGACACACCAAGTAAAAGAAACCAAGAAGCTGCATTGCGAGCTTTCAAGGTTCTGGGTAAGAACAGAAAGAAACATGGAGTGAAATCATGGAAGCAGAATTTCATCTTCCTCACTATCCTGGGGAGGTGGCTTTTCTTCCTTATCCATTTCTTCTTCTTAGCCTGATTTCTCTACCTTTAGGTGTTGTTTATCAGGAGGACATTATGGCTTTCCTCAAAAAGAAAATGGAGGGTGCTAAAGAAGTAGAGTACACCACAGTTCTTACCATCCTAAGAGAAATTATACAAGATTGTAAGTAAGAATGGAAGTTACAGGAACAGAGCTGTCCTAGGCTTGAGGAAAATTGTTTAGCGCTTGCTTATACTGGGTACATCTACATGTACAATTAATGCACCTGAATTTTCTTCACAAAAAACTCAGGCTCATTAAACTGCTCCCAGGCACATATCTGAACAGGTGTGTCTACACAAGACACTTTACTGTGCATTAGACAAATCTAATGAGCAGTAAAGCATCACTGTCTACACATGCGTAGCAATTACTGTGCAGTAGATTAGTCTAATGTGCTGTTTTCTAGTACCTGTACATACAGGTACTAGAAATTGCTTCATTAAATTTATGTGCTAAAGTGTATGTATAGATGCTGACCGGGAGCAAATTTCTCCCACCTAGCTTAGGCAGCAGGGGTGGGGAGAGCTGTCCTGGCTTATGAGACACTGCCTGTCAGCTATGTGGTGATCAGCATGAGTCCTGATCTCCATGTGGCTGCGAGGCAGCTGCCCGGCACCTGCCCCATCCCCTGGAGATCAGGACCAGCGTCTGTGCCCCCTGCCACCCCAGGGCTGGCCCTGGGGGAGCCTGCAGCTGCCCCTGGATGCTGCAGTGGGGGCAGAGCAGGGCAGGAGGAGCCATAAGCTAAACTGTTTTCATTGGGAGGAAATTTGTGCCCGGTGGGTGGACATTCAGATATGTGTCAGGGTGCAATTTAAGGCACCTGAATTTTCTGCGCAGAAAATTCAGGCTCATTAATTGCATGCGTAGATGTACCGATCATGCACCTGCATCAGGAGAAAATTTACTCCCCAGCCGTCAGTCAGCTGGTTCAATCAGCCAATTCTTCACTTTCATGTGCATGAAAGGCACTCAGGCTCATAAAAAGAAATGGATTTTCCATGCCTGCAGTCCCTGAAGGCTAGACACGTATTTGGCTGATTTCAGTGGAGCTGTGCTGATTCAAGCTGAGGAGCTTGCTCTAAATTTAAGCTCAGTGTTAAAACCTTGGATGTGAATTTCCTAACAGCTTTACACACTGCATGTGGGATGCACACCACATGTGGTATCTGCTGCAGCTGGTCCATGATCCACACTTGGCTCATTGCCCACAGACGCTACATACAGTGTGAGTCTCAGGCCAGCTGGGGTGGATGCTACACATGGCACAGCCCCAGACCAGCTGGGGCATGCACCATGTGCAGAGCATGTCATGGACTGGCTGGAGTTGGCACCATGTGTGGTGCAGGTCCTGGACCAGCAGGAGGCAGAGGGGTTGCTGCATGTGGGGTAGGTGCCACATTGTATCGCTTGTAACCTAGTCACGTTCCCCTCCTCTCCCCCATCCCTCTATTGTTAGTCCCTCACTCGGGCGCTTTGTATTTCCATATCAGCTTTGTCATCTTTTTTCTGGATTCCCAATCCAAAACATCTACTAATAAAAGTGGATCTTGGAGTGGGTGCTGTGGGCCCTGGATCCTGGTTGGGAGAAGGTTTCAGTCTGGACAGTCTGGCCTATAAATGGGACCCACACCACTCATCCAGCCTGCTAGACCAAATGAGTTTGACACCCCTGGGTTACTGGCTACCTGTGAATACACTGGGCTTAGTGGCCCAGGAGGCCTCTTCCAGGCCAGTGTATCTATAATGCAGTGCTAGCCTGTCTTGATGGGGTATCCTGAAATGAAGCAGTCAAAGAATATGATTGTTTCAATAACTTTGTTTGGGAGGCTAAGATGAATTAAACCAAACCACTAACAGGCAAGACAGCTATAAATTAAAAAGTGTGAAGGGCTTCCTGTGATAGATTTCAATGTATCAAACCTTGTGCCTGCTTTTTTTTTTCAGTTCCCCATATGGACAAAGTAAAAAATGTCCTGGTACAGTCTGTGGCCCTCCTCATAACGGAAAACACTGAGCTGGTAAGAAAGATTCTCGGTATCTGGGAACAGACTTGTCTCAAATCTCTGGTGTGGGAGATGAATTTCACTGGCCGACAGAACTACAAGGCTAACTATGGAAAAGGCTTTGCCCCCTTGGTCTGGTAGCTCTAGGATCACTGTGCTGTAGCTGTATTCTCTGATGTCTTATTAATGATTAATTAAGCCCTATTCATCTGATTAAGCAGAGCAGATTGCTTGTTCTCTTTGCTCTGTTATTAACTAAAAACACAATAGAAAGCTTAACTATGTATAAATATATAAATGAATGACTGAATATATGTATATGTTGTATATCCTAGTGGAAGTGCAGAACTGGAGAAAGGGGAGGAAGGAGACTTTCTCTACTTCTAACATATGACAAATGAAAGTTTTGTGATCACAGAATTGTGTCTCCTTTTCTCCTTATCAACCAGTTTGTGGGTGATGCTTGCCTGGATTTTAAAATGTCTTTTGCTCTGTTCATGTGAGGCTCTCCTGAAGGTGAAGAGACCACTCTTGCAGCTAATTAGAAGCTTGGGATGCTGCAGGTACCTTACCCTACCAGGAGGAAAAGTTCTTGTGGATTTCCTCATCCAACAGTGTGAGCATGTTGTCTGCACCACAGTAAGAAACAGGGAAAAATTCCCTTTAAGTTTTAACCTCTTCCCCTTTTCCCTCTTAACAGTTGTTGTTGCCCTCTTTCTGGTTCTTTTCAATCCCTGGTGTGCTTTTCCTGTCATAGTTGTCTACACTACAGCGTGCCATCAATGTAAAAAGTGTCATACTACTATTTTCTGTCCCCTTCATGCTTCAGCAACCTATGCTATTTCAGGAGCTGAAAGGGTGCTCCTGTGGTCCCATAGGGATCACATTTCCTTTTATTTTGCCCACCCCCGCCTCCCCATACTTTGTCAAACAGTCATCTTTCATTGGTTAGTTCTCTTGCTTCTCTCTCTTGCGCTCACCCTTTGTATTCCTTGTTGTGCTATCACCTTTGTTATGCTTTGTTCCTCCTCCCTCCTTCTCATTCCCTTTTCAAGATGAGGCCCTTTTCAGTCTACAGGAATATGATTAAGCCTCCTCCCTGTCCATCCTAAATTCCTACCAATCAAAGAGCTCCATGCTTATCTGCCTGCAGGGATTTACTCACAGGTTAATGCTAGAATTTCCCCCAGCATTCCCATCTAGAGTAAGTATAACCCAGCTGTAGGGTATGACAGTGGGCATCTCCACTGTCTGAGAGCACGTCTATACATGCGCCTAACTGTGCAGCTGTTATTGGGCAGTCCTGGTGCCACACGGGTTATTTCTGACCCTACTGTGCAGTAGCAACAAGTTACTGTGTAGTAGTGGCAGCATCGTGGTTCATGCCCCCTAATGCTATGTCACAGTAGCACATTCTACAGTGATGTAGTGTCTTGTGCAGATGCGCCCTGAGAAATGGTGTTATTGGTTGGATGAGATGTGCTCCTCCTGCTAGTCTCACACCATCTCCACAGTGGCCAGTGCCTGAATAGTTGCCTCCCCATTCCACTAGGAACTAGCTGTTTTCTACATGATATTCAATTCAGTGTCCAAGTGCTTTTAGTACGTGTTGCCATGGGCCACTTATTGGAGCTAATAATTTCCTTTGATAGCCTGACACCTGGAGTTTTTTTGGTTCATTTGCATGTTGTGACATTATCCCTCAGTGTTGTTTTGCCCCTCTTTTCAGTTTTTTGTAAATAGCAGAACATCAAAAACATATTCTGAATATCAAAGTGCTAGGGCACATGATCCTGAAGAGAGGTGCTAGAAAAGGGTTAGAGCATCACACTAACATTGGTAGTCTACTTTAGCTTCTGATTATTTTAGATGCTGCCATGCATTGACCAGATAGTATCATTCTTCTCTTCACCATGATGACTAAGGTATATTTTCCAAAGTCAGTGTCAGCTGAGAGCATACCAGCTTATGAGTTCATTTTCCCCTGGTTTGTATTTAAAAGGACAAGATTAAGCAGTTCAAGTCCCAAAATGCAAGAGACTTAGAAACAAAAAATTTACAAACCTAATGTCAGTGGGGAATAATTTTGCTTTTTGAAAATTAATGGAAAGTACTTTTTGCAGGGACTGTTTGGATTAAGGAAGTGATTAGGCAAGATTTCAATGGCTTTTGTAAGGAACTCCATATTTAGACCAAATAACTGTCTTGCAGATATTTCCCTCAACATGAGCAGCTCCTCCTCCAGCATCTTTTTTGCCTACTCATTCTCAGTCACTGTGAGTTTAGAAACTAAGCAGATTAATTAGTTCTGATTCTCTACCTATTTATAGAAGTCCAAAGATGACTGGAATGATGAAATGATCCAGAAGTACAGCATCAGCACCCTACACTTGGTAAGCATGACTGCAAGCTGGATGACAACACTTCCCAGGAGTTCCAGCTAGATGTTGCCTTCTAAATTCCTTGCTTGCATGCACTTGCAAGGGCACACGCCAAAGGAATCTTCCTTCCAGTGCATTCCTCCCACAGCGGGTTCTCCCTGGCCAGTCACAAAGATAGGAGGAGGTGATTCACTAGGGAAAGAAAAATGTCTTCCCTCTTTGAGCCTGCTGACTGTGCTTTCTGTAAAATGCTCAGCCTACTTGAATTATATTAGTATTCAAGAGTATTCATTAGGTTACATCATCTCAAAGAAATGGGTAAAAAGAAGCTTCCCCCCCACCCCCAATAAGAAAGAAAAGCCATAGGATTGTTCAAGGAATCACATAAATAACAATGACTCATCATCTGCTGCTCATTGCTTTCAGGTGCCCTGGAAAATGTTAATGCAAGTTGTGTGCCCTCTGGAGTATACCAACACTTTCATCCCAGTTGGCAAGGCCTTGACATCTTTGCTTCTTAAGTCAAGAATTGCAGGCAGATCTCCTTACCTGGGAGAATTACACAGAAGGCGTTAGTATCAGAAGAGCTGCATTCAATTGATTGCTTTACTATTTACTATTTGAATGGAACTTTCTGCTGGAGAAGTTTACAGGGCTGATGATAGGAAGACGTATAAATGTCTAGCAAGGGGCAACACCATACCTGTGGGTTCTTCTCAAACAGACACAGAATTCAGCTCACGTAACTACCTACACTCAAACATACTCATAAGCATACATAGATTCAAGCAGCCAATGAATGTGCTGAGTTTGTGGATAGCAATTAGATTGTCATCCATTGACCAAAAACTCTTAGTCAGCATTCTAGCTTTGAACACTATAACACTATAAATAAAGGGCCTTACAAGAAGGGAGGGACATCTGGGTGAAAGCACAGGCATATGAAGGACATTTTCCAGGATGAGGGATGTCATAGATAAATACAGTTTTCCCTTGCTTTATGTGGTAGATGTGTTCCTGAAAAACTGCATAACTCAAATTCACATAAGGGGTACCCACTTTACAAGGTAACAAATAGGGGTACGTTCCAAGACCTCGACTGCATTGGCAGCAGATAAGTCTGCTGGGGCTGGGGCAGCGCTGGGTTCTTCCCAGCATGATCCTGAAGAGAGGAGCTAGAAAAGGGTTAGAGCATCACACTAGCACTGGTAGTCTACTTAGCTTCTGATTATTTTAGATGGTGCCATGCATTGACCAGATATTATCATTCTTCTCATTACACCACTGCCCACCCTGAGCAAAACGCAGCCCAACACCCCCACCAGGACGAGTCCAGCCCCAGGGGATGGGCTGAGTGATGCCTCAATCTGCAACCCCACTAGTGGTTAGGAAGGGAGTGGGTCTGGGACTGGGACAGGGCTGGGGCTGGGGCTGGGGCTGGGGCTGGGGCTGGAGCAGAGGGAGTAGGGCTAGGCTGGGGCTGGGGCAGAGGTAAGCACTGCACAGCGGGGTGGGGTGCGGGCAGGCGGTGCAGGCTGGGTGCAGCTCCTGCTGCTATGGGCTGCTGCTGTGGGATGGGGCTGGGGGCCATGCTGAGCTCTTCCCAGCAGGGGGTTTGGGCTGTGCTGCACTCAGGGCAGGAGATGT